TGGGTTCCCACCAACTTCTAGTCTGTCCTCCCTGGTGGGAAGGAGCCTCTGAGTCAGAGAGCCCAGGGGCCTCGTTAGTGGGCAGGGCTACCACCGCCCAGCACCCACCTCCGTCTCCTTCTGCCTTTGTAAATAAGTAATTCTATTGAGGTGTAGGTCGTGGACCATGATGGGTTATCAATTTTAGCAAATTTAACATTTTTTAGCAAATTTTGTTGAGTTGTATGACCATGCCAAATAATCTAATTTTAGAATATTTTCATCACCCCATGACACATGGCTATTTGCAGTTAGTGTCCCATTCCCAGTCCCCCAGGTGACCATTAGTCTTCGTCACCCTTTAGTATCCCGGTGTGGGTGTGTGTGGTGGGGGGACTTGGTTCCAGGACCCTCTGCAGACACCAAAATCTGGATGCTCCAGTTCCTTATATGAAAGAGCATGTTCTTGGCACAAAACCTATACACGTCCTTATACTCAAAATCCGATCTTGATTGTTTATAAATGCTAATGCAATATAAATGCTACCTAGATAGTTTTTATATTCTTTATTTTATGCTACAGATTGAACTCAGGGACACTTTATCACGGAGCCATGTGGCCAGTCCTTTTGATTTTTCATTTGTTAAGTCTCCGAGGCTGGCCTTGATCTTGTGCACCTTCTGCTTCAGCCTCCCAAGTTGCTGGGTTGACAGGTGCGTGCTGCAGCAACCAGCGGTTGTTTGTTAATTTGCATTATTTTTTTTCCCCAAGTACTTTCTCTCCAAGGTTGGTTGAATCTGAGGACGTGAAATCTGCAGAGGCAGAGAACCAACTGAACTCTCTGTTTCTAAGGGTCTTTCTCTTTCTGGACATTCTATAAAACTGGGATCCTACGGCATGTGGCTTTCTGTGTAAAGCAGAAAGTCCCTTTCCAGATGGCCCAGGTCGCCGAAATGGAGTAAAAGTCCTCCTCGGATACAGTCACAGCTGTTAACACATCTCTCCCACCCGCCCGGTGGCCTTTCAAAGCATCGGGGAGAGACGGATTTCACAGTGATTTTTTGGGGAGACAGTGGAGCATCTGAAACTGCCCCTCACTGTCTAGACTTCCCCCCAGTCTCTCCATGGAGGAGTCCATCACTTCGGGCAGCTCTTGGGTTGACGCAGACCCAGGATAGCATTAGGTCTGTGGTGGGCGCTGGGTGACTGGTTTGGTCTACAGGGACCAGGATGACAGACTGTGTGACTGCTTCCTGTGGCCATCATCGCCCCCCCCCCCCCACCTCCAGGCTAAGGTGGGTTCTCAGCCCAATCTGCCTGTGTCCAGGGGTTTCGTTAATTCACACTTCGGGCCATACACTCAGAGACGGGGACAGACGGACAGACAGAAAGCTGAAGGGAAAGAGGAGAGAGGGAGAGAAACAGGTGGAGAAAGGAGAGAGAGAGAGAGAGAGAGAGAGAAGAAGGGAAGGAGGGAGGGAGGGAGAGAGGAGGAGGGGGAAGGAGAGCACGGCTCAGGGAGGGGAGGGTGAGCGGCCAGGGCTGAGGACATGGCTGCAGACACAGACCCAGAGAGAGGAAGAGGGGAGAGTCAGAAAGAGGCAGAGCAGACAGAGAAAAGAGGAGAAGAGAAAGAAAAGGAAAGAAACAATGAAAGAAAGGGAAGAAAAGAAAGTGAGCCGGCGGAGCCGGGGCTGGTGAGAAACTGGAAGGAGTCAGCGCCGTGGGGAGGGCCGGAGGCTGACCTCAGCCTCACATGGTCTGGAAGCCCAGAGGCGGCCGAGCTGCGGTGCTCTTGGCCTCCGGGTGAGCTGCTTCCCTGGCTGGGCTCTCGGGGCCTCGTAGGGGCCGTTAGAAGGTCCCTGGTCGCTACCCACTAGATGCCAGCAGCACCACCTTCCCAGTGGTTTCAACCCAGATGGCTTATCAACATGCCCCGTCAGCAAAACCGCCCTTCACTGAAACCCAGGAGTGAGGGACAGTCCCTTAGAGTTCAGGTCTCTCTGAGCTCACGTCGCAGGTGTCCAGGGTATTGCACGGCCCATGGCAGAGGATACTTAAGGCTCATTTCCAGGGGCCCTAATTGTCCCTGATGGCAATTGATAGCATTATTTTTATATTCAAACAAGTGTGGATACAGCACAGAGCGGAATCCCAAATTCAAGGCTGGAAAGAAATGTCGTGTCTGGGATGGGGGGATCTTGGCTGTGCTCCCAGAACCCTGGGCAGGTACCCATTTCCATTTCTCTGCTTTGGGGGAAGCTAACAATAGCAACCAGTGGTTGGGCGCTCCCCAGGGGCCAGGAAATTTGGGGACGGTTCCTCATCGGATCCTCACGGTTGATCTATCGGTAGTCCCATTTTGCAGATGAGGAGACTGAGGTCAGGAGAGTCCTGAAAACCACCCAAGGTCCAGTGGTTGCTCAGCCACGGAGCTGGCATGGAACCAGGTCTGTCTCCTGGTGTTCACCTTCTCCAGGAGACCCTGGGAGAGAACCCACGGGAGGGCATCAGGGACACCAACCCTGCCCACCCTTCGTCTCAGACTTCCAGCCTCCGGAACTGTGAGAGGTCCCCTTCTGTGGCTCAATGGCCCTGGTCTGTGGTGTTTTGTCACAGCGGCCTGGCACACCAGCCCAGGGGTTGCCTGGTCCCTCCTGGGTCTCGGCCGCTAGGGTTCGAATTCCACCTTTGCCACTGACTAGCTATGAGACCCTGGGCCCGTTCCGCCACCTCGCTGGGCGGCGGTCCCTCTGTCTCTAGGCTGAGGTCACAGCCAGTCCACGTGAGGGACTGCAGGGTGTGAAGCACGGGATCCACCCAGGTGGCTAAGGAGTTCCTGCCACAGAGTGGCAACCACAGGCCGGGGCCCAGATGATCCTATGGCAACCATCGGTGTGTGGCCTGTTCCCTGGTGGAGTCCAAGGTGTTTCTGTCCCCAACAAAATCACGCACCAGGAGGTAGGGAGGTCAGTGCTGTTGACCAAGGGCGTGGGGGAAAAACCAGGCGCTGTTCTCACCTCTTCCCCAAAGTCACTGGGTATTTGAAAACCGCCAGTTACCGTGTCCCCGGCCCTCTTTCCCCCACTCATCTCCTCCCTCCTCAGGACTCGCCTGCTCTGTGCTCCCCAGCGCGACCTCTCGGTGTCCTTTGGGTCCCCCCAACACCTCCGTCACCACAGACCCCTCGAGCACCTTCCCCTGGTCCCCGACACTTGTAAATGGCAGAGCCTGGCTTCCATGGGGCATGCCACACCCCAGGAGTGACAGAGACCCAGAGAGAGCTTTCCTGAGCCAGTAATGATAATGACTCACCCATTAAATATAATTTATAATCATTAATTATCGTGATTAATGGTAATGATGAAGCGCAGGGCAAGTTCCTGCCCCGCCACCGTCAGGGGGCTGTGGTGTCCCCCCCACCACCCCGAGCTCTTGCTTAGTGCAGGTCCCACGCCTCACCCCAGGGTCTCCTCCCCACAGACCCTCCACGTGGGTTATTTTGGGGAGGCCCATTTGATACCCAGGACACAGAAAATGCAGGGAGCCCGGTCACCCCAGTGCTGCTGTTGAATGGTCTCTGACAGGGCAGAGAGGGTGGGGGAGAGGGAGGGGACGCTGGAGACGAGGGAGAGGGGGACAGATGGGGGCTCCCTCACCTCCTCCCAGTCCCCGCAAAATACCCCGTCTCTCCTCCGCTAGCCAAGGTGGCCAGTTGCTGGTCACAAGCCCCCTCTTCTCCCAGACCCAGGGGCTGAACGTCCACAACCACGGTGCTGGCAGGGCTGGTCCCTCTAGGGGCGGTGAGGGAAGGGCCCACTCCGGCCTCTCTCCTTGGCCTGTGGGCAGGGTCCTCGTCTTTTGCCTGCGTGGCTTCTAAACAGCAGCAGTTCACTCCTCACAGTTCTGCAGGCTGAGAAGTCTGGGGTCAAGGCCTGGCAGATAGGAGGTCGTCCACTGCTGGGCTTGTGGACATCTGCCCTCTTGCCGTGTCCTCTCCTGGTCATTCCTTAGCAGGTGCTCATGGAAAGAAGGCAACCCGTCTCCCTCTCTCTCTTCTCATAAGGGTACCGATCCCATCAGGGGGACCCTGCTCTCATGACCCCTTCCAAACCCCCTTCCAAAGATCCCTCTTCAAATAACACCCTGGGGGCTAGGCTCCAAGGTGCCAGTTTAGAGAAGGCCAGGACCATTCAGTCCTAACGATGCCACCTCTGGTCTCTCTTCACATTGTCCTTCCTCTATGCAAGTCTGTCTGTCTGAACTCCCCCCTTTTACCGGGATGCCCATTGGATTGAATCAGGACCCACCCTAAGGGCCTCATTTTAATTTATCTCTGTTAAGACCCAATCTCCAGTTAAGGTCACCTTCTGAGGGGACCTGGAGACAGAACACCGACATAGGCATCTGTGGGGTAACCCAAGTCAGCCCACAGCGCCAGACTCAGTGCTTCTCGGGGCTTCTCGGGGCTACGGGTTCCTTTGGACGGACCCACGCGCCCAGGTGCGAACCCTTTGCCACAGGAAGCTCCTCCCTAGTCTAACCCTAACCTGCCGCCTGGGAAGTTCCTCTTCCATCCTCTTAAAGTCTCCTTTTTCTCTTCTGAATCTTAAGGGTTTGAGTCTCCTTGTAGCTAAATGCAAGCACTTCCCTCCCCCGGGGGAAGGAGACAAAATGAGGGCACCTAGGCGCGAGGGCCCCGGGCGGGTGGCATTCAGATGGCCCTCCTGAGCTCCAAAGCCAGATGCCATCAGGGACGGGCAAAGGAGGGTAGGTCCATGGTTGTGGTTCCAAAGCCCGAGAGCCCTGGTTTAAAAATGGGTGGGCTCGAGTCGGCCTCGAGAGCTTCTCCACGGCACCGAAATAGAGTGGGAATTGATCTCGTGCGACTTTTGCCTCGGATAAGATCGTTATTTGTGAAATCATGTCAGCGTTGCTCTTGCCAAGTCAGCAAGCACTTACAGGACGTGGCTTCTAATTTAGGACTGGGACTATTTGTGGCTCCTCTGAGGAGGCAGCAGGCAGAAGCCGGCTGGACACGCGGTGGCCAGGTTTCTGACCGTTCTGGCACAGGAGCCTGGAATCTGCCCCGGACGTGCCCTGCCCAGGTAGGGAAGGACCTTCCTCTACAGGAAGGACCTGCCGCCCGTCTCCAGGGAGAGTGGTTTGCAGGTGGCCCCTGCAGAGACCAGCTGGCCCCAGGCCTTTCCCGGCCAGCTCCAGCCTGGGATTTAGTGACCCAGGGGCCAGGCCCCAGGCATCTGGGCCCCACTTGGGCCCCACTGATGCCACCTAGAACTTCTTTGGGGTTCCCTCCGAGCTGCCCGGGGTTTCTCCGGCTCCACTTCTCCCCATTTCCAGCGGGTTTTCTCCTCCTTCCTTTCCCCGATGTGTAGTCCTATTAAAAAATAAAATAAGAGAATTCTTCACAGCCCAGACTCCAACCCCAGAGAGCCCACCAGAGACAGGTGGCTCAGCAGTTTCTGAAGTCCATGCCAGTGTCTCTCGGTCCCTATTGTGCTCCTGAAAGAGAGTGAGTGGGACTGTCCCCTCCCACCTCAGTGCCGCCTGCTGCAGGATCCTTTGTGGAGTTTCGAGTGTCAGAGCCTTCTAAATTATTTAAGAATCTAATGCCAGATTGTCATTTGTTTGACTTCCATGAAATGAAGTATATGCATTAAAAATATCGTTTGAAAGGACAGCCATTTCTTCATTCAGAAATTACTTTTTCTGTCAGGTGCGGTGGCACGTGCCTATAATCCCAGCAGCTTGGGAGGCTGAGGCAGGAGGGTCTCGAGTTCAAAGCCAGCCTCAGCCAAAGCGAGGTGCTAAGCAACTCAGTGAGACCCCGTCTCTAAATAAAATACAAAATAGGGCTGGGGATGTGGCTCAGTGGTCACGCCCCTGAGTTCAATCCTGGGTACCCTGCTCCCCACCAATCACTTTTTCTTTTGGCATAATCACCACGTTCCAGGCACTGCTCTAGGTACTCTGGACACTGTGATGTATTAGCCTCAAGAGCCCCTGAGAGCTGTGGAGCCTGGGAGTCAAAATAGAACGCATTGGAATTTCTGGTCCATCTGCATCTCTCCGCTCTGCCCCTGTCACCCCTTCTCTGTGGGACACTTCTGCCCACACAGCCTCTTCTGGCCTGATGTAGGATCGTGGTCATCTTCTAGATCGAGTGTTCCCTCTTCTGCATGCTTCCCCGTCCCTGAACACACACCCAAAGAGAGCTGGTCTTGCTTACCTCCCCCCTCATGCTCACCTCCACACCCACACTGAGGCTGGTGCTGCCCACTGTCTCCTTTTCTCCATCCGTCAAATGGGGATAACAAGAGCTTCCTCACCTCCTATAGCTGGGTGGAGAGCTAAGTCAGTATAGATTTTTTTCAAGGTCTGAGACACGCACCTGATCAATCGAAAACATTTACAAAATATAAGCCAATACAATCGCAGACATCCATCATGGTGCTTGAAATAATTGCTAATAATATCTAACACGTATCGATCAGCTCTGCGCAGGGACCGTGCTCATATTTGACATGGATTTGTAAAAAGGCAGTCCTTCTAAAAACCTGATGGGGAAGGTACTATGACTCCTCCTGTGTTTTAAATGAGGAAACCGGGGTCTGTACTGTGGCCACTCTTTGCTTCTAGTCTTTTCTCTTTTTTCAGGCGGTGACCTTTGTGAAGCAGGCAACTACATTTTGTTTGTTTTTCTGTCTCCAGTTGTTAGTGTAATGTCTCTGGGTCAATAGCTATTTAGTGAGTGAGTGTAGGATTAAATAAACTAACGAAGCAGAAAGGACCCCTGTGTAGGAGGTGGAGAATGAGGACCCAGAAGAGAGGTCTGACTTCCCTAAGGAGGAAGGTGCAGCTCCATCCAAGCCAGAGTCCAAGGAGTTTCCCATTAAACTAGCACTTCTCATACCTGAGCGTGCACAGGGAACCACTCGGGGAAACCTCGTTAAGATGCAGATCTGATTCAGTGGGTCTAGGGTGGAGGGCAATACTATGCATTCCTATTAGATGCCTGTGTTAATCAGCTTCATGGTGCTATAACAAAATACTTGAGGCAACTATAAGGAGAAAAGGTTTGCTTTGACTCCATGGTTCTGGAGGTTCCAGTCCAAGATCAGGTGGGCCCCTTGCTTCCGACCTGCTACCACTTCATGATAGAAGCACGTACTGGAAAAAATACTTATATCACAATCCAGGTAGCAAAGAGAGAAGGAGGAAGGGCCAGGGTCCCCCAGTCCCCCTCAACGGCATGCGCCCGGTGATCCGAATACTTCCCATTAGGTTTCACCTCCTAAAGGTCCACAGCCCGGGGACATACTCATACCCAAACCACAGCATCTCTCATGTGTCACATCTGGCCTCTGATCACTCTTGGAGTAGAGACACACTAGGCCACTTGTGCCCCTTGGCTCTATGCCCGCAAACGATACAAGCCAACAGTGCTCACTTGAGTAAAAACATGGGCTCCCTGGGAGGTCATACACAGGTGCTCTGGCCCGTTTTCCATTGTCGTGATAAACATACAAACTTAGAGAACCACGTAGAGGAGGAAAAGATGATTTGGGGCTCACGGTTTTGGAGGTTCAGCCCAGGATCAGCCAACTTCATCGCTCTGGATGAGGCAGACCGTCATGGTGGAAGGAGGGGGTGGAGGAGGAGAGCCGCTCAGCTCCTGACAGCGGGAAACAGACACTAGAAGCCAAAGGCAAGGCCTATCCTCCCCTAGGGGACGCCCCTGGGGGACCGGCTTCCTCCAGCCACACCCCACCTGCCCACAGTTAACACAGGCAGTGCATTCCAATTATCGACCCGTTTAATCTAACAGGCTGGGCCACAGCACCCCTAACCCGACCATGTCACCTCTCACCCCAATACAGGAGCTTTGGGGGGACCCATCTACCCCATCAGAACAACAGGGAAGCATCCAGAATCCAGGAGATGACGCAGAACCCAGCTCCACGAGAATGGGAATAAACACGTTATTTGGACCTGAACAAGGTGAGGTCCTCTGCTGGGGGTCCCCTGCTGTCAAGAGAAATCTGGTCCAACTACTTATCACCCTGGAATCCTTCCATTACGGGCTCACAGCCCCGGGGCAGGTATCTGATTAACTCAGTTTGACTCCCCCGTCTCCCCAGGCCTGGGGAAGGGACGCGGTCATCATTGATGATCTCATCCCGACTGTTGGCAAGGATGGGTGGACATTTTCTTAGAGAAAACTGGGGCTTTTCTACCCAAAGAGGGGAGGATCCGCTGCACTGCCCAGAGGCTGGGTCGTCGGCTGGGTGGCGGATTTGAAAGATGACGAGAGAGATGGGCGTCCTTGGTGAGCTCCATGGAGACATGACCAAAGCGTGGACCGGCCACAGAGATGTGGGCCAGGAGGAAAACGGACCGTGGAAGTGATTTGGAGTTTGATCCCGAGCAGGACAGCCCAGGGGCCGGCGTGCTCCATGGGTTTAGGGTGTAAGTCACAGGCCAGGTGCGATGATCAGCCTTGAAAGGATCCCTGATCATCTTTCCAGGGCTTTCTTGCTATTTTTTTTTTCAAATATTTTTTAACTTTATCCACTTCTCAGTGACTCGCTTTTAAAGGTCATTATATTAACTGTGAAGATGAATCAAGGGATGAGGTCATTTTTCAGGCCGGGAAACCGTTTAGTGGGATGAGCTGGCATTTCCATGCCCCAGAAGAGGCCCATCTGGGCTTTTAAAGAGAGAATTCTCTGTCCGTGTAGTATTCTTCGGGGTGGGGCGGGGGGCGACGGATAGCCTTCCTCCCAGACCTCAGCCTTGCCTTCTCCTCAAAGGTGACTCCTTTGTCTCCAGGTTGGTGACTCCCATCTGGGAAAGCAACATCAGGTTCCCTAATTCTCAGGCTGGAGGCGGGCGCGGACTCTCTTGCAATCACGTCGTCGAACTGTTTGGAATCCTACAGCCAGAGCCTGGTTCTCTGCCGCCATAATTTATGATAAAGGCTGGAATAAATCCCCAGACATGGATTTTCTATAAAATACTTCCTTGTGCAACTTTGTGGCACTAAAAATGGAAAGAAGATGGGGGGGAGGGTGTGGGGGGAGGAGAAGAAAGGGGGGAGGGCAGGAAGCCCCGGGGGAGACGTATATAAATCTCCAAGGACGCCGGCTCCATTCATCACGGTTACTGTAAAGACAGGGATTTTACTTGGATGGAAAAAGAATGAATCATCGTGGTTTTTGAGTCTAACGTGAAGCTGGCTGAGAGGATTTCCCTTCCATCTTTCCGGTTCCTCAAGATCACGCGCACAGGGAGGAAGAGGGAAGCGCAGAATATTTTGTATCTACCTGGGAATGCTCTGCCCTGGGAGGGACTCAGAGGACAGACGGAAATCTCCCTTTGGTGGCTCTCATTGGGGAGAGAGAGGGAGAGCAGGAGGTGGTGAGGAAGGAGAAGGGGACCAAACAGGGCTGGAGGGACTTCCGTCCCACCCAGAGCCCCGGAAAGCAGAAGGTAGAAAATCAGACTCTGTCGGTCCCCCCGGTCCTTGGGTCTCTCCTGCACATCTCTCAGGCGATGGCCGGATGCTGTTGGCATGATGCCTCAAACACCGGTCACCCTGTCCTCGGACACGCCAGCCCAGGTGCCCAGGGTCTGCCTGAGGTGGAGGGCAAACGGGACTGTGTTGGGCACACACGGAAGCCACCTCTACTTTCACAGCATGGGGGATCTCGAGGGCTTTGAAGGGAGAGGTTGTCTCTAAGTGGTTGCCCCCTTTATGGGATGATTTTGAAATCTAATTTGCCTCTGAAGGTCGTTCTCTTCTGGGGTCATCTCAAGTGAGCGGACGGGAGATGAGGGTTGGGGGAAGGTCAAATGTGCTCGTTAATGATTTGCCCAGTACGGAGTACATCCAGTGAGCCAGGCTCATGTCAAGCTCTGGGAATGAACGTTGCCCCAAAACGCAGAGAGACATTTCTCTCTGTGTTTTTTTTTTTTTAATGCAATTACAGTGTTTTAAAGTTGCAAAGACCCTCCAGAGGATATCACGTATCAGGAACAGTGTTGAGCAACCCTTTACATACAAGCACTGCTTTGGGGGAAAATAAACATGTTCTCCCCACCACATCCTTTGGGTACAGAGAGAAAACAGTTTTATGGAATTCCTTGGTAAGGAGGGGCCCTTGCTCAAAGCTGGGTTCAGTAGAAGGCTATCAGCCCAAGACTTGGCATTGCTCTTTGGCCAGGAAAATGCAAATATTGGGTAATAATTGGGAAGTAGCCCGTCAGGTTGGTTTTCAGACTCCTTGTAGGTCACAGGTGGCCCACAGGCTGTGGGTGACCAAGGGAACGGGCAGCGATTGAGAGGCTGGGCTGATTCCTTCCAGATCCTTTACACACGTTGCACCATTACCATCTTCCAGCTCATCTAACTGATCTCATTTGGTTGCAAGAGACCAAAAGGAAAAAAAAAGGAGATTTAAAATTTTACATGGTTTTAAAAGGTGAGCTCTGTGCATAAGGGTTGCAAGATTCGGATGTCGAACCATCGAGTCAGCACCCTCTGCCGTTCCCTGGACTCTGCTTTCCCTCCGGGGGCCTCCCTCCTGGGCAGTTCCCTCTGTGTGGACCCACCGTCCACTCGGCAAAGCCAGGAGGACACCTGCCAGACCTAAACCCAGCAGAGAGAGTTGCTTCTCTCCAGGGCATGGCAGCTCCAGTTTTGGAGTTGGAGCTAAAGGGCTTTGTCTCATCTGGAATCAGTCTAAAGTGTCCCCTTGGCCAGGATGGGCCCATTGGTTGGGGATGGAACCAGATTTATGTAAGGTGTATGGAGATAGAGAACTGCTAAATGAAGGTGTGGGTGGGTGACAATGGAAACACAGAGACTCTTACCAATTCTATCTACGGGCTGTTCATCCATCCATCCATCTATCCATTCACCCATCCATCCACCCACCCACTGGTTCATCCATCTTATACATCTACCCACCCACCCATATATCTCATACTTCCATCCATCCATCCACCCACCCATCTATCTTATCCACCCATCCACCTACCCATCCATCTATCCATCCATCTATCCCCACTCACCCACCCATACATCTTATCCATCCATCCATCCACAGATCTATCTACTTACTATCACATCTATCCATCTACTCACCCACATAGCCACTCCAGTAACTAGTTAACTGCCCACACCTTTATTGTAGAAAGCAATCAAACATTCAGTGCATGGCATATCTTATGTGTGCTTATTAAATATTTTTGGTACTGGGGATTGGACCCAGAGGTGCTTAACCACTGAGCCCTTTTTATATATTTTATTTAAATAAAATAAGCAAGGCCCTGGGATACTTGGTGAGATACAGAGTCTCACCAAGTATCCAAGGGCCTTGCTAAGTTGCTGAAGCTGGCTTTGAACTCACGATCCTCCTGCCTCAGCCTCCTGAGCCACTGGTGCTTGGCTTCTTATGAGTTCTAAAGCTGAGTTTTAAAAAAATTGACTAAACCAATGAATTTCATCTTATTCTCAATTTTACATACAATGAAAAGGTGGATCACAACAGCTCACAACAGCTAGTGCCAGAGCCTGGGTGGGCACCTGGTCTCCTCAACTTTCTCAGGAAGAGGCTGCCTCACCTGTTGAGGAGGCGGAGTCTCCCAGCAAGGAACCCGTGTTTGAACTATTGCCTAAACACAAGTTTCATGAAAAGGTCTATTTATCGGTAGTTTTATTATTAACCAGTGTTTATTTTCATCTCAGTATCCTATCTATCTTTCCGATTGAAAAGTTTACCTTTATTTTAATGCCACATCTCAGGGAAAAATACAAATAACAATTTTTAATGTCAGAGCCTGGTAGTTCTTATGGCACGGAGCCTTATCCATGAAGCTGTTACCTGAACCATTGAAATATGCCCCCAAGTTTATATATGTCTTAATAAGGCTCAGAAATCACCATGATACGGGTGGGGAGACTTGGAATGTAAGGCTCTGGGAACACGTCTCTGAGCAAGGTTTTAATAATACCAGCAGAGTCAAAGCCGTGGTTGGGGGTGGGGTGATGGAACGTGCCTTCACCAAAATCATTATTTTTTTTTTTTTACACAAATCATATGATTTTTTTTCTTTTGTCCAATTTAGGTGTCTTAGAAGCCCCAGCCTATTTGATAAATGTCTTATTTGAATTAAGCTGTGACATTACAGTGGCGTGTGCACAACGGTTTCAAGATAGGAGTTCACCATGGAATTTACGATTGACGGCTGATTTCTTCACATTGTAAGAAAAAGGGGGAGTTGCACTGTTGGGTTTATTTGTTTGCTCAACAAATATTAATTGAGTGCATACTATGTGCTAGGCACTGCTTTAGCACACAGCGGTGAACACACAGAACAGAGGTGAATCCTTTCCCTGAAGGAGCTGGGTGCTTCAATGCCGGGTTCTTCTATTAAGCAATGACTGGCACGGCCACGTGCCCTCTGCAGGCCTACACTTCCCCGTCTGTAGCCTGAGAGGCAGGTGAACTCAACCCCAAGCCAAGAAAGGAAAGCCAAGAACTCAGGTTGGGAAAAGGGAATCTCACCAAGGATGGGGTGCCCAAGTCCACCCACTGAAAGGTGTTCTGTTTAAGGGCAAGGAGGCTACTGAACACCACTTGATCTGGGTGGCTCCCGAGGATCGGATGAGCACCTTTGGAGGGAGAGACCAACCACTCATGAGGTGCCCGGGCGGGTGGTGAGTTCCTTGCTACTGAAAGTGTGCCAGAGGCCGGACGTGAACTTGGCAGGGATTCTGGGGAAGAATGCACGTGCAGAACCTTCACACACCTGTGTCTGTGATCATCAGCACCTGCCCTCTCGGCACCGCACCATGGGGACCCTGTGGCCTCCACCTTTGCCGCAGCAGAAGAGAAGGAAGGAGGCGGTGTCAGCTTCCCAGGCTCAAGAAGCGACACTTGTCCTTGCTGCTCACAACCCGTGGGCCAGAATGAGTCGCGTGGCCCCAACTAATC